AGGGTCTCCCAATGCTCTGTGTTTCCAGGTGCCCCAAATCCAGCGTTGCTGTTGTACTTCCACGGCCATGGAGCCCTGGGGAAGTGATTCCTGCCTGGCTCAGTGGCATCCCTGTCCAGAGAATCACGGAATGGTTTGGGTGGGAAGAGACCCTAAAGCCCATCTCATTCCACCCCTGCCATGGCAGCAACACCAGCTGCTCCAGGCTGCTCCAAGCCCCATCCAACCTGGCCTTGGACACTTCCAGGGATCCTGGGGCAGCCACAGCTGCTCTGGAAACCTCTGCCAGGGCCTCCCCACCATGGCAGAGCTTGGCCCTGGATGGTGTTTAAGGTCACGTCCAACCCAGACCATTCCACGATTGCTGCTCTGAGCCCCAAGCCGGGCTGTGCTGATCCCTGCTGCTGAGGCTCCTGCTCACACAGGGGAACTGCAGGCAGCTCCTTGGCTCTGGAGTTGTGGGAAGCCTTGGGATGGGGAGCTCTCCCCCCAGCCAGGGAGGAGCAGGGACGCGCTCCCCGTCCATTACTGATCCACTCGGAGGTTTCAGAGGTCCCCCAATGTCCCTGCTCTGTGTCTGCAGGAGCTTTGGGCACAGGAGCTGCACTGAGCTCTTGGGATCAGGATAACCTGGTTCCTAGGAGAGGCGTTGAAACAGCATGGAACAAAGCAGGAGAAGCTGGTGGGGGCAGAGGAGGTTGGAGAGTTGATCGTTGTAGTCCTTTAGTTGTTTTGTTTGCTTTGGGTTTTTCTAAGTTGTATTTTTTTTTAAAAGCATTTGCAGAGAAAACATTTATTCCAGGGACTTGAGCCTGACAGGTGTGAGGTGAGTGGATGAGGGCAAAACCTGACTGAGAATATCCCCTTGGATCGAGGTTTTCCCACGAAGCAGGTGCCGGGAGCTGCATTTCACAGAGCTGGGGCCGTGCGGGACCCCCGTCGGTGCCATCGGCCACGCGTCCTACCCCGGGAGAAAACGGCTCTTGTGGGAACCGCGGAGAGGGAATCGCTCTGCAGGGAAATAAACGGCGGGGAAGCATCGCCGGGGCCCGGGCCGGAGGAGGACGGGGGCTCGGCCCATCCCAGCCCGCAGGATCCCGCAGGATCCCGGAGCCTCCCCGGCGCTCGGTGATGTCATGGCACAGCGAAGGAGCCGCTGGCTCCCGGGCTCTTGAGCAAGTGGCCCTGGCTCGTTTCCTTCCCCCCGCCGGTGCCCCAGAGCTGGATGGGGGCGGGGGGGAAGATGAAATCGGTGTGATCCCCCCTCCAGCGGCTCCCCCGGCCGCTTTAACCCCCGATTTTCCACTGTCCCACCTGCGCTGGTAGCGCTGGGCACGTCCCCTGAACGCTCTGTTCCCTGATAAAGGCTGGTTTTCCCCCGCCGAGCCGCAGGGGTTTGGCCAGGCTGGGGTTAAACCTGGTGGGATCTTTCCAGCCCCGATCCGGTCCCACCGCACCTGCCTCGGCAGCGCAGGGACAGCCCCGTCCCCCTCCCCTCGCCTCCCCTCGGCTGCTGTGTAAAAAACCCCAATTCCCCCAGTGCCGGGCAGCTGCCCGGGCCCATCGCGGCTCCTGCCTCGCCAGGTACCGCTTTCATCACCTCCCATCCCGGTCCCCTCTCCTGGCTGCACCCAGCCAGAGCAGCCTCAGCCCCCTCACGGACCTGTTCGCCCCCCAAAAAAGCTCCAGCGCTCAGAGCTCTGCCTCCTCCTCCTCCTCCTCCCCCTCTCAGGTGCAGCAGGAGGGAGGTTGAGCCATCGCCTTTCCCTGCTCCCTCGTCAGCCATTTCAGAGGCCAAGTGCTGACTACCAAAACTTTTCCTTGGGCTGCTCCAAAACTTTAAGGTTTTTCTTCTCACTTGTAGCTTGAAGTAGATTTTTTTGGGGGCAGTTTTTGCCCAGATTTCAGTTAATGACCTGGATTCCTGCAGAGCTGCGGGGAAACAGAGTCAAGTTTAAGTGAGCCTTAGGCAAACAGACAGACTTGAGGCTACTCCTTCTTCTTGAGGTGCCCTCTGTGTCCATCACACACCATTTTACCCCCCTTCCGAGTACTTTTAACTATTTCAGCTCATTAAGCAGAATTAAAATTGAAAACAAATGGGGGGAAATAATAACAAATAGGGTTAAGTGGGGAATTACAACTAAGTTTAATCAATCAACAGTTATAACACGATGAAAATAATCCAGGATGTATTCCCTGGTGGAATGCCATTCTGATTATTTTCGAGAAAACACACCAAAACTATTACAGTTACAAGTAATTAAATTTATTAGACCTCTGTATTTTTTTTTATAGTCAGTTTTGGCCAATTTACAGCTTTCCTGGGGATTTTTTTTTTGGTTTAAAAAAAAAAAAAAAAAAAAAAATAAAACCATAAACCAGATATCACCAATACATCAACCCCCCCCTCGCCCCGTCACAGCCACCTAAAAAAGGGGGAGCCCTCGGCCCACCCAGCTGCAGTTCAGCCCATAAAAAGGGTCCGCGGCGACTCTGTACAAGGACCGAATGTTCCACCCAGCACTGTAAAAACCCCCCCGCGCCCCCCTGCCCAGTGTCACTCCCCCGGCTTGCAGGGGCCCTTTTCCTGCCGGGGCAGCTCCTGTTCCCGCAGCAGCCGCAGGTTCTCGGCTCGCAGCCTGTCCACCTCCCGCTCCAGCGCCTGCACCCGCGCCGGGTCCGCCGCCTCCCCGCCGGCTTTTTTGCTCTCCATCCTCAGCCGGTTGTTCTCCTCCTCCATGCGCGACAGGCACTTCTCCAGCTCCAGGTACTCCTTCACCAGCTCCTGCTTGCTCATGTTCTGCAGGCTCTCCACATGGTACCGCTCGTACGTCTCCGAGAAGTCCCTCTGCAGAAACTCGCTGCCGTCCCCCCCCATCCCGTCGCTGCCCCCGTCCTCGTCCGCCGCGTCGTCCAGGAAATCCTCCTCGCTCGTGTCGTCCGACTTGGCGGCCGCCCGCCGCGGGTACAGCCCGGTTTTCAGGTCGGGCTCCTCCTGGTCATGGTCCTCCATGAGGAACTGCGTGGTGTTGTAGGGAGCCACCGGCTGCCCCTTAGCGAACATCTCCGCTCGCAGCCGGGAGGCGCGGAGGCTCTGCCGCTCGTCGAACTGCTGCTTCTCCTCCCAGCTCAGCTTCGAGTACGGCTTCCAGCGCCGCTTCTTCTTCGACGGCCTCCGACGGTGCTTCTTCTTCACCGGCCACTCCTCGGTGCGTCCCACGGCCCGGTACCGCGGGCCCAGGCCGGGACGCCCCGCT